TCTCTAAGTTCTGTTGCCTTACTCTTCCCTCCTTCTACCTATTATCCTCCACCCGCCTCTCCGTCTTTTTTATTTTATTTTTTACTCCATTAAATCTGTATCCCACCTCGTCCTCACTATAATACTATATGTAAATTGAATTATTTATTTCTCCCTCTTTTTTGCTCCTGTCCTATCTTTATTATTAATAATCTTTTATATACTTCTTCTCGATTTTCGCCCCCCTTTCTTTTTCTGTTTTTGGGTCCGCACTTCGTTGTTTGTTTATTTTGGTTCCTCTTTCTCCCCCTTCCTCTTTTTTTTGTTCTGGCTACCGGCAAGCGCATTGCCGCCCTGCCCCCCCGCCCCTTCTCTCCTCCCCCTCCCGCGGCGTTTCCTCCCTCCTCTCTTGGTTCGATTCAACTTCCTGCTTACCGCGGGGGGGGGGGGGGGGGGGCTAAAGGGTGCATAACAGTCGGGTGTGGGTTTAGAACAGAGGGGGGTGGGGATTGAAGGAAAGTAGAGAGCAGAGGCCAGTGTGGAGCATCTTGTTTGAGGAGCCTTGGGACAGGGCACCACTGGGGGATTTTTAAGGAGAGACATGATCTCACCCCCTACACCCCCCACACACACTTTTGGACTCAGGAAAGAGAACTGGGCTGGAGGAGTTGGGCCATAGCAGCTTAGCTGTAGCTGTGGCCACAGATAAACATACCCAGGAGGAGTGGCAGAGTAGAAAGAGAATTTAGGAAGAGGACCAGCAGAAAATAGTAAATTTGAGGAAAACTAGGGGAGTGTAGCACCACAGGGCCGGAGGGAAGTTCTGGAGAGGTCAGTGCTAAATGCTCCGCTGGACCCTGTGTCCAATCACAGACAGTAGCCCTAGTTCTGGCTGAAACAGGCACCTTCATCAGAAGGCCAACATCTGCTCACCCTCAAGATGCCAGGCAAGGTCAGTTCTGGCCTGACATCCAAGGAATCCAGGGTATCACAGCCACGGAGGCCATTGGGGTTGTAAGAGGCCAAAACTCCTGGCTGGAGGGGCCTGGCCAGCCCCTAAAGTAGATCCTCCCAGCACTGGGCAGGCTACTGAAAACCAACGTTTATGGAGTTTACTCTGTACTCCTGTGGCATCAGTGCTTGCTCCTGTCACTGAAATCCTGGCATCTTTCTCTCATCCCCTTGGGCTTGAGCGTGAGAATGTGGTCTGATGCCCACTTTATCAGGTAGGACTCACCAGCAGTTTTAAGCTCCTCTGGATATGGAAGATACGTGGGGAGCGATATGTAGTAACCTGCATCGAAGGAGCCCACAGGGGTGGCTCCTGGGAAGGGGGTGGCTCAGAGGACTGGCTGACCCCGACCCACTCCCGGGCACCGGAGCCTCTCGGCGCCAAGCAGCCTCACTGTGATGCAACGTGCTGCGTTTCCCTCACCCTCGCCACTGCTGCCCTCCAGCCACGCACATGTTTTCGGAGGCTCGATGCCATCTCCGGCCACGGCCCGTGCCTCGGTGAGCGTGCCCGCCACCTCCAGCACAGCGCAGGAGGCCACTGTAGCCCGCGGGTCCGTCTCCAGTCCGACCTGGCCCAGCCGCTGCAGCCCCGCCGAAAGCCTGGGCGCCAGGTGGGCCCCACAGACAGACCAGGTTGCAAGCCCCTGTGAAGGCGCGACTGCAGGACCGCACGAAAGTGGGACTGTGGCCAAGCTCGCCGCCGCTAGCCTGGCCATGGCCCCGACGCCAGCGCCCGAACCAACCCCGGTCAGCACCGGCCTCGGTGCGAGCCCCAGTACAGCCTCAGTGATGGCTCACTCCGACCCGTCAACACGCTGAACCCAGAAGTGCCCCTCGGCGCTCGAAACGGTCCCGAGGGGACACGCGACACCCGGCGACCGCCGGCGCAATTGCAATGAAGAAAGGCACACACCGAGGCGTCCCAATCTGTTTGCCTGAGGGGGGGCGGGGCCTCCCGCAGGAGGCAGGGCCACTTCTCCCTGCCCCCAGGACCTGGTCGCTAGGTGCCAATTGGGAACTCCATTTCCCAGGATGCAGCTGGGCGCTCCCCTGCAGCCAATGACCGCCAGGGGTGTGGCCAGCCCCGCATGCGCAGAAGGGTCAGCTCTTCCCAATGGGAGGGGCCCGCTGGCTCCAAAGGGGCGGGATGCTTTCTCCCTGCAGGCACGCTCCTCCCTCGAGCCCAGCCAGCAGCCTCTGGCAGCCGTTAGGTCTGAGCGTGACTACGTGTTGGGGTGGAGAGGAGCAGGGTCTCTCATCTGTACAGAAGCTCCAGGTTCACACGCCAGGCGGGGCAGCCGCAAGACGGGTAGGAGCTAAAATCGTTCAGGGCATGGAACCTGGCTACTCGGACCACAGGCAGGAGGTTGGATGTTTATTCATGACATACAGCCTATATTACAAGACATCTCTAGAGCAGGGGCTGCGAGTCCGAGTGGCCCCTTGCACCTGTCAGCAGCTCCACCTTCCAGGCCAGGCCTGCTGCCCTCACAGCCCAGTTTGCTTGGGCAGGCAGCACAGCAAGCATCGTGGTACAGGCTCAGTTACAGGGCTAGATGAAGCTCTTCTACCTGGAATGATCAGAAGTTCTGCCTCCACTGCAGTTAAGGCCACCAGGATGAAAGCAGAGTCAGGGCTGGGGACGGGTTGGGAAGCGTGAGGTGGGGTAAGAGGGCTTGGGAGAAGATATCCAGAGGGGCCTGATTAGAATAGAAACGTGATCTTGGTTCAGCACTCCCAAAATAAGGGCAAGGTGACTGCAGCAACCACAGAGCTTCCCGAGGAAGAGGACTG